ATGCGGTCGCTCAGCTATGCACATACACACTGTTTCTCTTCATGTATCCGTCTCACCTCCTCTCCTTCAGCGACTTTAACAACCTCTAATCCCCTTCCCCAATACCACAGTACAGGCCGGTTTATTACAGGTCCAGTGTGGTTAATGAGAGATGTGAGGTGCCAACAAGGTAAATCACTTATCACTAGCTTGTGCTGGCACTGTGACAACACTGCTAATGCTGGCCTGTGTATGTGAAGAGGAAGGGGAGTTAATTTTCTTCTTTGACATATGAGTCACACTGAGAAGCTTCTTGTTGTTACAATCATGTTCAAAAACACAGGCATTAACATCTGACTGTCTCCTAAAACCAGATTGAAATATGTAAAAACCTTTCAGGTACGTGCCCTTGCTTTTATGTCTGTGATTAAACAGGGCCACACAGCTAGGAAATGAGTACACTGAGTAATGCTGTGGATGTATTGATTTTCTGTCTCTGCCTCCCTCTCTTTCACCTCTCCTCCACCAACCCTTATGCATGAAGGAAGCCTCGTCTGAGCCTGTACGAGCCCTTGTACGTGAGGCGCTACTGGACGCCGGAACTGCCCAGCTTCTCAACCCCGCACCAGGGGAAAGGAGGGTACTGGTGGAGTCCCCAAAGGTACCAGGAGGTGGGATCCACATGGAGGGACACACGCCGACGCCGAGTGGTCTTCCCTGGAAACACTGGCTTCTCTGATGTGCCCTCGAGTCTGAATGCAGGCTACTGCCACCTCCACCCGACCTTGGTGTGAGTGGACCACTACAGATAGGATGTTGTGGGGTTACAAACATACCTCCCTGCATGTGTGTGTGTGTTAGCATTGTGCTCTATGTTCCTGAGAGGCCTGCTTTTGAGCCTCTTCTTAAGTAGAAGTTGGTTGTCAGCACTCTCAGAGAAGCAGACGACAGACCGGTTAGTACTCAATCAGCACTCCGCCGGCTTATCAGAGGCCAGGCGTGGAGCCACAGTCAGGAGCTCTCCTCACACTGTCACCGTGCTTGTATGTCACCAAGGCCACACCTTCAAACAGAGGCCATTAGGCCTGTCAGAAAGCATGTACACCTACAGGGTCACCTCCTCATCTAAGATCGTTCTGCCCATCTCCTGTCAATGCTGTGGTCGTCACTAACCTATAATATCTGCCAGTCTCATAATGTACAGAGAAACTGACTGAGGGACAGGATACTTTTATACTGTGTGCCATATACAGTCAGCCAGCTTCAGTGCCACTGGTAGATAGCGACAATGGACATTTTACAAGCACCACTGATATCTGTAGCAAATTTCATGGTAATCCATGCAATAAAGGTTGAGATATTTCACAATGTCATGGTGGCTGCTTGCATTTCATCTTTTAGTAAAAGATCTAAATACTCCCACCGTTGCTTACTGCACACCCCCACAACCTCTTCACCTCAGTATCTACACTCCATACCTATGTTTTCTCTGTCACTGAAGTGTCTATTTCCAACCTCCCTGCCCCATCACCAACCCAATATACAGTATATATAAATATCCTCTACCTACTCCACATCACACCCACATCCCCCCCAGGATATGATAACCTGACCTAAATGGATGGGCAGAGTAATTGTCTCCACGCCCCAGAGCACCTTGTTGTCATGGCAGCAGAATGGTTGTGACCGTCTGGGTGTTCCCTCGCACTGATCTGATTTTTGCCGCTCTGTCGACTGAGGCTATTGGTATAAAAGCAGAGTATGAAGGTGTGGGGGATGAGGAGCTGTTATGTACTAGTGGGTTTGAGGGAGGAATATGAAGTGAGGTGAACACCCCATCACAGAAAAAGGCCTCCCTACAGGGAAATGGAGACAGAAAGAAAGAAAGAGAAAACAATACAGAGAAGAATAATACAGGTACAAGAAAGAGAAAGTTGGGACCTTCAGAGAAAGAAAAAAAGCAAAGTGCTACAGGGGAGGCCCAGGAGAGTTCAGAAAGCGAAGGAAAAGGATAAAGAGAGACACTTAAAATGGAAAGAGATGGTTTTGAGCGAAAGGGAGAAAGATTGATGGTCAGGGGGAAAAAAGAGAGAGGGTGAAAAAAGGAAAGAAGTGGAAATAGCAAAAAAGCCAGGGGGCTAATGGGCTCGTGGCTAATCAATCCTGAGTGATGGCCACTTTAGAGTGGGCCAGGCTGACAGATGGAGACCATCCCTCTGCTTTAGCTCTCCCCTGACTCCCCAGCTCCTAACTCACCGCGCAGGAACACATCACACACACACACACA